ATCATAAAATTGTCCATTTAAATTCGAATATCTTTTCAAAAATTAAACTTATTAAAATAATTAATTTTTAAGAAATTACACGTCTAAAATGGCGGAATAGAATTACTAGCGTTAACGATGATAGTATCTTCTTTTCCGAAGAATAACGAGTTCTGTAAAGTTTCGTCTGAAGATTCGTCATAAAGGGAAGATACTTAAAACCTCGACGTTTAAAAGTGTTCAATCTCGGCAAAGTAACTAGAAGCCGTCCGAATAAATATTTACGGAAAGCTGTAGTAGTAGCTAATAAAGTGCTGTGCAAACAGTGCAGACGTGATCGACATTTAATAGCTACCAATCGGTCACGAAACTGTACAGAGTTTCCGAAGGAATTCGATTTACCACTCTGGTCACATCTCGTAGATCGCCAGGAACTCTTTTACAAATGCTTTTAGGGATACTATAAACGTCACGAAGATCTACTATGCAGTTGATGGCTTTCCTTTACATTTATATAGTCTTTGTAACAGGGTAACGTGTTTAATAGTACATTGTCTGATGTTTCAAAATTACAAAAATATCCAATCTGAACTCGAAGGTTCCTAAAAAGAAATTCATACTTCAGTAGACAAGAACGTTCACTTAGGAGACATCCAGAAACCTTGTATTCGAATCATTTTGCTCTGGATATTGCATTCATTTTTTCCCCAAGAATTAACACTTCTATCTAAAAATAAAAAGTGTCCAATTTGAATTCTAAGCTTTACAAAAAATTTTCATTCTTTACAAGACAACTACGTTCACTTAGAAGACATATGGAACCATTTTGAAGATATACGAATCATTTTGTTCTGGAGTTAACAAATCGATACAAGTAAAACCAATAAGCTATTGCATTCTTTCTTTCCAAAAATTAACACTTTTACCTTGTTACGATGTGCTCGTGATAGTTGCAACCAACTTTCGAGCTTCGTCGAATTTAGCACGTGGTGTGCCGACTAAATCTAATAGGTTCATTTTCGAAGGACCACCTCCGTGATTAGGAGGACAAAACTATTGCTAATGATCTAAACTTCTTAAAGGAGCGACTCGTGGCGTGGTCAGATGACTTCTGGTGTTCCCTTCCGCGAAAGGTCCCACGACACCTCCGTGCGAGGACGCATCGCGGGGGTGAGGCCCTCGGATAGGTTGAGTACATTTTTCGATAGTGGTGGGGAAGGGTGGTTGGCGAAAACTATTGGTTAAAATCATAGGTGGGGAAACTACACGAAAATGCCATCCCCCAGACCATAGGTCACTCTCAGGTACCAAGCGTACCCTTGAGTGACGCACGCGGGAATTCCGAGTGCCTCGAACAATGACCGTAGCAGACAATAACGTTAAGACGCGCTTCGGCTCTGGTGACCATATGAATGCAGAAATGTACAAGTTACCAAAGGGGCGAAGATTCTAAGTCGAAAACAGGGTAATAAAAGGTAAATGCAAGTTCTTAGACTGCAAGACTACGATTGCCGTGGCGTCATAAAGTTACCGCTGCTGAGAAACGAGCGAAGGCGAAAAATATATACCACAGAACTACATGCTAAGAAATCTAAGGGTCGGGCGGCTGACATACCTGTCGAGGATTAAACATACCTAAAAATAAAAGAAAAATCCAATTTGAATTCGGAGATTCCTAAAAAAACCAAAGGTTCACACCTTAGAAGACAAGAACGCGTTCACATTAGAAGACATCCAGAAACCTTGTATTCGAATTATTTCCCCACAGACCTAACAACATTGACGCAAATTAAGACGGTAAAGCCAAGTTCTTTGTCTCTCGGCACCGTACACAAAAGATGATAGGCCCGTAGAAGGACGATGCACTTTTGAAAGAACGAGCCATGCCCTCCTACACGTGATTC